ATTTATGATGCACTCAATGATAAAAATAACGTTTTAGGGCTATTCTATGACTTGAGCTGCGCCTTCGACATGATAGATCACCAGTTACTTCTCACTAAACTTGAATTTATTGGAGTTCGAGGAGTTGCCCGCAACTGGGCCTCCTCCTACTTAAATGATCGACAACAGCGTACAGTAGTTGAAGGCGTCAAATCCGAGCAAAAGCAAATCTCCTCTGCTGTGGTATACATTTTATTTACTTACATACATACATTCTATACATTTTAATGTGTTATGACAAAACTTTACATTTGTCTTTTGTTTTACTTTTTTATGTAGCTGACTAGTCCGATATATTTCTTGCAAGATGTAAGTAATTTCTATTGTTTACATTTGTGTATGAATGTTGTGGATGAAATAAACATTATGATTATGATGATTATGATTGACAAACAACATCAGGATCAACGGAAAACAGATATTTATTTCACTTCCCTGCAATATTTTCTCCAATCAGTCACAGCTGCTGCGCCTATGTTTAACTCATTCATTATGAAGTTCATTCAAGGATGTGGAATAAACAAAAATATGCAATGAACCCAATGTTGGGCGGCAATAAAAATGGGTGTTTTTTCGGTCAGTTTTAGTAAAGTTACAACTAATGATTTTGTCATTTTTCTCTAATACCTTCACTTTCCGTGTTTTGTTACATCTATACAGCAAAGTATTATGTTTCAATTCGCATTCTTCATTGCAATTGGTACAACGTAGGTATTGTTGCTGCAAACACTCCAACTTGAATTAAATAGAGCATTAAATTCTCTCTCACTATGACTAAATTTCAAATATCGGTAAAATTCATGATTGAGACTTTTATAAATCGCTCACGCCAATGGAGGGTTGCTACCAAAAACTTAATCCGTTGGTAAATCAGGTTTTTCATATGAAAAATGTTGATTATCAAAGTGAAAAGTGTCAAAGAACGTGAAATAAGATTTGAAGGTAACCATGGCGAATAAATGAATCAGTGAATAAATAAATACTTGTGTTTTTCTATATGCTTTATTATGAAAAAATTGGCTGAAATGATGCAATTTTCCAAAATTTGGAGGGCTGTAACTCTGGAAACAAGGGAGACCGCCGCTACACGGCAAAATACGTCAATAAAGGTGACTTTTTTTTCAAAATCGGTTGGTGCTGCCTATCCAAAACTTAATCATTTTCAGTATATTAGTCAAATGAAGAGACATTTTTGAAATGGGTCCCAAAGAACAACTGATTATTATCATACCTTATAAAGAGGGCAGTTCTTTTTGTTATATAGACGAAAAAAATAATTACCGTAATTATCGATCTGAACCAGGTCTGCATTCGCATTTTTTACCGCGATACCGTAATTGTCCTAATAACAACTTACGGAAAATAATTGTAATGAAACAATGAGGTCTCGATTGAAATCATCCGATTGTACATGTGCAGAGATCTCATTACGAAACCAGTTATGCCTGAGAATATATTACTTCACCAATATGTTCTCGTGGTTATAGTACAGGCCATGTAATTTGTTTCTTGAAAACAAATTGTACTTTTTAATTATCATTATAACTGAAGTGCAATCCAGATAAATCTTCGGGACATTCTGAAGCCGATTCTGTGTCAAAGTAGTGATTTACGCAGCAGATTATTTTAATTCGGAAAATATGGTTTGGAAAGTTTATTACTAGAACTGCTTTCCTTCAGGTATCAACTGTTTGTTGAAAGTGAGAAAGATACTCCAAGTTTATTTCCTTGTAATTATTTTATTATCACTACACTTGATATATTTTTCTTACATTAACCCTTTTGACATATATCAACCAACATGGAACACTTATTTTTCAAGAATCTTATATCTTATAATCTAACCTTCAATTTTACCTTTTCAGAACAAAAAAAAACGTAAATTATTAAACATTCTTACATGCTAATTTAATCAAGTGGAATTACTCCAATAGCTGCATGTACGCAGTCTCATAAAATGAGCCGCTGTAAGACCTTTAGTGAGAATATCAGCCTTTTGATCTCTCGAACAAAGATACTGAACACTGACCTGAATTTTTGACACAAGATCTTTAACAAAATTATACTTAACATCTACATGCTTGAGCTTCAAATCATTTGGTTTTGTCAACAAATGTATACATGAGGTATTATCCTCAAAGACTGGTAATGGGTAATCCACATGTATATCCATAACTATAAGCAAACCTTTCAACCACAAGGATTCACAGGCAGCTAGACTCAATGCGACATATTCTGCTTCCGTTGAGGACAGAGATACAGTATTTTGTTTCTTTGTACTCCATGAAACTGCACCTCCAAATGTTTCAAACAGATATCCATACGTAGACTTCCTGTCGATTTCACCAGCCCAGTCTGCATCTGCATATCCAATCAAAGTATAAATACTTGAACGTGGAAAAAATAGCCCATAATTTAAAGTACCTTTTATATATTTAAGAACACGTTTTAATCCAACCCACTGAATTTGTGTTGCATTAGTAATCCGCCTTTCACCACTGGTAAGGTAATGAGTGAGCTATTAGCAAGTGATAATGTTTCAAGTGAGCTGATTACGGTTTGTTATTCCTTACAGGGCAGGGAGTGAAACAACTGAAGAATGACTTCTTGTTCTGAAAGTGTTACTCCAGCTGACTTATTCTTACATTAACCCTTTTGACATAGGAACACTTATTTTTCAAGAATCTTATAACTACTTACAGAACACATAATATAAAGGTTTTAAGAGAACTTATGTCATGGAAAATTGCTATTCTCAACAACTTTGCTAGGACTCCGTTGATGAAAGCTCTCTAACAAATTGAGTTTGTGATGTTTTGAAGTAAAGCTCGAAACGACGGGCATTTGTATTTTACTTCAGACATATACCTCTCTGATTACCCAAAAAGACAAGTCCTTAACAGAATCAACGTAATAATAATACTGATAATAATTGGAACTATTCATTCCCCACCATCAGGCTCATCCAAGCGAATGAATCTGATATAGTTCTTCTCGACCATCAAAGCAAGACGATATTCGTCGTGGAGTTTTCAGCTCCGAATGAAACGAAGATCGTCCATCAAGAGGAGAGAAACGTATAAAATATAGGGATTTTATCGTCGAAATCGCAGACTCTATCCAGACCACTCTGTTAAGATGGTTTCCTCGGTGGAAAGCAGAAATATTGGCCGGGCAAATGCAGGAAGATGTCATTCTCATCTCAACGTGTCTGCATAGGACACATAATTCTCGGATCCAATGATCACTTACCCCACGCTGTGGAAGGTGGTCATAACTTTATTTTCCTTCTTGACAATTATTGATTGTATAGGAGTAGTCAACAATACGTCATTATTACAAACACACACATAAAACTCACAGATTGATAAAATCTTCGAAAGAGTTGAGCTCTATCTGGCAATGTGAAAATGAAATCGATGATTAGGGTTTAGGTTGGATTATGATAGGTTAGATTCAAGTTGAATTCAACTTAGTGACCGATTTTCGGTTAGGTTTAAGAGAAATTGAGCTTAGGTTCAGGTATGAGTGCATTTTCGAGCATTTCCACGAAAAACTTTCCCAACGACCGATTTTGAAGATATTTATATAAAAGGTCTATTGTGACAATCCCCGATGACGAACATAAAAGTTCTACGTGTTTCAACGTTCAACGTGGATAATTGGGGTTAAAGTTATGTTAAGTTAGGTATATCTTGCTTAGGTATATCAGCTTAGCGACATTGCTATGTAAATTATTAGGGTTTAGGTTAGATTAAGTTACTTTTGAAATTAATCCAACTTCGTCCGAAGTAAAAACATGCCATTTATTCAACACCGAAACATTTTTATATGTTACTTTTTTATTTTTCGATATCGGTAGTTGTGGCCATATACTTTTTGAATCGTTTTTTTTAGTAATTAAAAAATAGAAAACCAATTTAGAAATCGGTTATTGGGTGAGATGGAGACATTCTGGTACTCCAAGGCCTGAGGAACTTCGTGTTCACAAATTTGCTGAAAAAGTTCAAAGGAAAGAAGTTCAAAGGTATTTTGTTTTTGCAGGACAATGCCCTTTATTCATCAGGTCGGATTCCACATGACTATCATGTTTTCCTCAACTGAAAATATAGTTTGAAAAACACGCTTTCAAAGAACGTCGTACTAAAAAGTTCAAAATATTTTTTTAAATAAGTTTGAAACAATAAAGAACGAAAAATACTAGTATTATTGTGAAAAAAGCGACAGACGCTTGATATACAAAAAAAGCTTATTAAAAAAATATTTTTAACTTTTTGCTTCGATGTTCTTTAAAAGCGTGTTTTTTTTAATGAAAAAAAAAACTTTTTTCAAATGAAGTACAGCGCCATCTGCCCGCGAATAGATCAAGCAATAATGTCGATATATCAAGGAGGTCACGTACAGCGCCATCTGCCCGCAAATATATCAAGCAATAATGTCGATATATCAATGAGGTTACGTACAGCACCATCTGCCCGTGAACAGATCAAGCAATAATGTCGATAATTCAGTCAAATACAGATCCCGATATGAAATGAAAAGGAGAGTTACAAACATACATACATACAAGTTAAGCTAATAAAAAGTGTGTAAAAACAAAAATGAAAAAGTCTAGGAATGCGTGAATTTTCTTCCAACCCAGGAGGCAATATGTGTATTAACACTGTTAAATTTGAAAAATATGTAAGTTTCCTTACTAGTGTTTTTGACAAAATATGTTGAATTGCCAGGACCCCACGACTTCAAAGATCGAAGCATTGGTCATTTTCTCTAGTATGTTCAGAAATAGTTTGAGAGCTGCGACTTCTGGCTGTTTCTGACTGCAGGTCTTTAAGGTTTTTGTTTGTGATATTTCGATACCGTGTTTAGTTAACGTAATCAAAAAAAAATTAATCAGCTCAATTTTATTTGCAAATTTTTTACACGCCATATTTTTTGATACTTTACATTTATATAAAACTTCTTTTCTAGGTATTTTGAACCAATCATCAAATGTAACCAAATAAGGAACAAAGTATTCAATGATGACGAGAACAAAAGTGAAACATCTCCATGACAAACCGCTCAATACCATCTTTTTCGAACATCATCATCACCAGGCTACCCTCCTCGAAGGACTCAATTCGTTGCGAGAAAAAGAAGAACTTTTGGATATAACTCTTATCATAGGTAAATATTGAAAGGTAGAGATTGAAATAAATTGATGGATGTAGCCGTTATTACGTGGTAGGAAATCATATTGAAGAAAAGAGAAATGAAATTTTCTATGTTTATTGTATAAGTTTGAAAATGACCGTATAGGACGAAACTGCAGTAACGTTAGTTACAAATAAAAGTGGTAAAAAACATAGAAAGAGATTGAAATCTTTTATCGACATCATCAGGAGCTGATCAAAACCAATCCAACTCCCTTCATCCAAAAACGAATGTCTCTCGCTGGAGTAATCTCCAATAAATACATATTCTAGTCAAAACTGAAAGAACATGTGAATCAAAAATATGACACATTGAAATCTGTCTATGAACTTGATTCATAATCAAAGTTCTCTCTAGGCTTCGAATATTACTCTCTCTCTTTCCACCAGTTTTCCTTCCTTCCAACTATTTTTATCATAGGTAGATCAGCCTTCAAAATTGTTTATTTTTCATTCATTGTTATACCATTATCAAAATATGTAATATCCTGAAAATTACAAGCAGTGTTCCTATATTCTATGACCTTTCTCTAAATTGTATTGAGGGACACTAGACTTTTTTGGTCTACAAAATCCTATCCATACCACTTTCTCGTTGCAACGTAGTTGTAGTCCTCACAGCTCAATTAATAGATCCCAGTCTTCTCAGTTTTCATTGCATTATATTTTGAGTTGAAACAAACTCTTTAAGTTCACGTTTCCTGATAAACTCATCAACCATGTTCAAAGACTCTCAGCTATATCTCTGATTACATTTTTCTCAATATCGAACCTTTCTTTGCTCAAGAGGAACTCAGTATGTCTACATATAAGGAAGTGTAGTGCATTTATTTTTGTTGAGAGAAAAATATCTGAAGTAATGGTATTTTTCGTAAACAAATATTCTCCTTATATTTTATTCCCTTTTATGGTATATCTCATAACTGAAACATTAAAGAATGTTTTGTAATTATTTTCAGTTTTACATATATGTAATCTTAATAATTATTATTCATTGATAAACAACTCAAATTCAAACCATCAAATACATCATCTGTTCATCAGAACTGAGTCTCCTTTCTTGTTGGTTTCCCATTGCCTTGTTCTCGTGCTATATGTAGAAAGATATGTTGAACTGAAAACAATTGTTGATTTGTATGATTTGGATACATGCTTCGCCTTCTTCATCACTTAGATCATTGATCCTAAAAAAATTCTCAAATGTTTTAACTTTTCTGGTATAGAAACGGTTTGAAGCAAATAAGACCCATCAATTGTTTTCCATGGATAGGTACATGTGCTTCATTCTCATTATGTGGTATTTTTGTTTGAAGGGGTTAGAAAACTATGGAAATATTAGCTAACTTGTTTTTTTTGCAGAAGGAAATGTGTTCAAAGCTCACAAAGCAGTATTAGCAGCTTGTAGTGACTACTTCAGGGCCATGTTTACAGATAATATGCTTGAAGCTAGACAGAACGAGATATGCCTGAATGGAATCACAGCAAATGGTTAGTATCATCAAGGATTTTTTCTGGCAAAACTTGGTAAAATTCAACTGAAGACAAAGAGGCATCGAATATTCAAATGAACTTTCAAATGAAAGTTATTGCACCAAGAATCTACTAAACATATTAAACCCCATGTGACTTTAAAGTAACTATAGTCGAATTTATTTGCTCCTTACAGTTCTTCTTTTTCTTCCTATTGGGTAGTCGGCAAAAGATTGGGTCCAACAATTTTTTTATTTGAACAATGTTTTCATTATTGATAAATATTTGAAAAGAAACCTAATATATAACTGTTGAAGCTTAAGAAAACAATTGGGTTTAACAAATAATTCAAGGTTGTTTACTGTTTTTTAGGTTTCAATCAACTTCTTGAATATGCCTACACTAGTCGCTTATCTCTCAACTTAGCCAATGTACAGGATGTTTTGGAAGCAGCCTCTCATGTCCAAATGGTATCAGTTATACAAGCATGTTCAAATTATTTGCAATGTCAAATTGACATTGAAAATTGTGTTGATATTGCAACTATAGGTAAGGCAATCTTAAAAATAAAAGAAATAAACTTTGTGTCTCTTTGAAAAATATTCATTTCGTATCAAATACTGTAGAAGTAACTCATTTTTATGTTATATTGAAAAATGTTGATAGACTGTTTTTTTTTACACATTTTATATTATATTAACTGAATTGATGAATATAATATGTTTAATATGTTTATTATGAAGAAACTGGTAGCTACATTACAATTCAGATACTATAAACAAAGAAACCTCATATTAACCAGGTTGGTTGTATGAGTTGACATAGTTTTTGTTTTCAGAGTCTGAGCCGAATACAAAGCAAAACAGAAAGAGAGGAAAACAAAATAATTAAGATAATAATTATAGCATTTACTTGTTATGTCAGGTGATCAACAATTTTATTATAGTAAATCAAAACAATTCATTTATCACTTCAGAATCTGTGCTCAATAATAAGGTTTTGAAACGTTTTTTGAGGAGACGGTAAGAATTTATGGAGTGAATGTATATTTTGTACATCTCTGGAAGTAAATTAAAAACCTTGAGTGATATGTGTGTGAAACATCTCTGTCCCATTGATTTTTTGGTTTTGTTTATTTTGACATATTCGTTACACTTTGTTCTTGTGTCATAGTTATGATCGATTTTTGGTAATGTTCGTCTAATTTTATAGAGATATGCAATGATATTATATAAATACAATTTTCTAATGCTCAGTATATTTGAATCACGAAATAATTCTACAGAGGGGTAACTAAAAGATTTGAAGAGCATTATTTTTAATATTTTTTTATGAAGAATGTCTAATTTTCTCAAGTGTGATGGTAAAATACCACCCCAACTGAGAATAGCATAGTAAATTCGCGATTCAACTAAAGCGTAATATACTGTTCGCAGCTGTTCTGGATCTAAAAAAGTTCTTATTTGCTTGAATTTGAATAGCATGTACCTCAAGGTTTTAGTTATACTGGTGACATGTTCATCCCATCTCAAAGGTTTGTCAATCATTATTCCTAGGTATCTGATATGATTTGCAGTACCGATATCGATCATAACACCCTGATTGTCAATTGTCAATGTTCGGTATAACGGTAGCGACGACGTATAAGATGCAAATGGCATAAAGAATGTTTTTTCAAAGTTGACGGTGAGTTGCATATGGTTGAACAAATTTAGTATAGATGCTGTATCATTTTCACATTTTTGCTTCACTTTCTCCCACGAATTTGCAGAGTATAATATTGCTGTATCATCAGCGAAACTGTAAATTTTTCCAGAAGAATTTAGAGTTAATAGGCCATTTATGTAAACAGAGAACAGCAACGGTCCCAGCACTGATCCCTGAGGTACTCCATGTTGAACCACTTTTTCTGCGCTAATATATTTATTAACTTTAACTGCCTGCATGCGACGAGATAAACAACTCCCCATTAGATCTAGTGACCTTCCACGAACTCCCACATCTTCCAAGACTTCCAACAACTGAGAATGGTTCACAGTGTCGAAAGCCTTGGCCAAATCAAGAAACATACAGATAATGGGCATACTTTCATTTTTGAAGTGGGGTGCCAAGTGAACGCATTGCTGAAAATTCCAGCATTATAGTTTCTCGGCACTGCGACCGTTACCTCGTTGCTTTTGATGACGTAAGGCATAAAAACCTCTAGACCTTGGCCAAAAATCTCGGAAAATAGCTTTGACACAGTCATCTCCAGTCGTAAAGTTTCCACTTTATTGTTAAACTGAAAATAATAGCTCAGAGTTTTAGATTTCAGACATGACACCAGACTTATTGATGCTCTTTGGACAATATAAATAGTATATTGTTGAATTTTGAATGAGTTTGATGTATGTTCGAATTCAACAATTTATTCTTGAGTATAAAAACGCTTCAACCCTTCAACGTTATCCTGATCTCGGAGTATCTTAAGAGCCCTCGTAGTTGCACTTCATTTTCAATTCACTGTATCCCTTTGTTCATGAATATTCAAATTCTGGTTCTGCATAGAGGGACTCACTCGAGAATAATGGCTTTACATTTACTGTTTTGAGTTTCTCTTACCTATCCTCTTTCAGTGAACAGAAATAAAAATGAACGTTATGAAAAATTAATACATGTACTCCCATGTCCAGTGACGTAACTCTGTATTTGGTTTCGGTATCAAATGAACATAATAATAAACGGATCATGTGAAATGGAAAAAGCAATAAGAACTTTCAGAATACAGAAGTCAACAAATATGAAAGCAAATGAACAGTGTAGACTGTAGAAGAAAAAAGAAAGGAAATCAAATGATATTTTATGGATTTTCACAAACTTTATTTTCAAAAATATCACGACATTTTTCATTATCACAGTAACATTTTCGTAGTAAATAACATACTAAAAGTAAATTCTTTACTCTAATTTTTATATACCACACACCAGCGAGAACTACCTACATCCTCAATTATGATTACCCAGACCATATTAAATCAATTGTACATCAATCTACGTTAAATCTATCTCCTCTCCACAGCGAGAAATACCTACATCCTCAATTATGATTACCTAGAGCATAATATAACAATTCTACATCAATCTACGTTAGATCTATCTCTTCTCCACAGCGAGAAATACCTACATCCTCAATTATGATTACACAGAGCATAATATATCAATTCTACATCAATCTACGTTAGATCTATCTCCTCTCCACAGCGAGAAATACCTACATCCACAATTATGATTACCTAGACCATAATATAACAATTCTACATCAATCTACGTTAGATCTATCTCTTCTCCACAGCGAGAAATACCTACATCCTCAATTATGATTACACAGAGCATAATATATCAATTCTACATCATTCTACGTTAGATCTATCTCCTCTCCACATTCTTCTGAAGAGAGATGCTAGATGGACTGCATATAGACTTGTGCACATTGCCAATTGTACAAATCAATTTAATGCAGAGTGCAACAGACTGTTGGTTGATACTGGAAGTCAGAGCATTGTCGAAATAACCTCTGGATTTATGCCTCCAACCGTCAACTACGAACTGCCTTATAAAATACTGTTCCCGAGTAGAGAATACTGGATCCTCCGGGAGAAGTAAATATTAAGAGCAGCTAGTTATTGTTTCACAGATAGATAAAGAACACCTTCAGGTTTTGGTGCAGGTGTTTTGAGTCGCAGACCCAGGATAGAGATATCAACCTGCCTGAGAACCCATGTGACTGTATTTCAAGCGGAAATCTATGCTATTGAATTGTGTGCGGAGACATTGATAGAATCCAACCTCATACGCAAGTCAATAAAAATATTTTCAGGCAGTCAAGCGGCGTTGAAAGTTCTTGGCTCCCAATGAGACACGTCTAAATTGGTAGAAAACTGCCAAAAACGACTCTCCCCGATAGGAATACTTAACATATTTGTTTCTGGTCTGAATTCCTGTCCATACTGGCCTGGAAGGCAATGAGGCTGCTGATTCCCTTGCAAAGGAGGGTGCTGTGTCGCCTCTGTTTGGAAAATGATGAAACAGCAGGGAACATACTTTGTTCCTGCTCCGCTAGGGACCGAATCAGGTTTTTAGAGTTCGGCAGAGCCATACTTTTACCATCTGACCTGAAACACCACTCACAATTCAAACAAATCGGCTTCGTTGAAAAGCTGGGTTTATTTGGTCGAGTGTGAATAGATGTGAGCCACAATAAACCCTTGCGGGTTGCGGTGGAGGGTCAAATAGACCCACTCACTTTGGACCTAACCTAACCTAACCTAATATATCTACGGTTATATGACCAGTTGGTCATTCAGTAAACTGAATTTTAGGTTTCTTGATTTTCATCGCCTTACAAATGATTTAGCGTTCAACCTTCAGTTTCTGTATGTGAAATTTGGAAATATCCATTTATGATATGATTCTCTTCTAAAAGATGATTTGAATATCTTCAAATTGTCCTCTCATTTACGTAGTTCATATGATGTTCCTGGATGCGATTCCTGAATGTTCTGCAACAACTCGAGCACCAACTCATCGCCTTTGATAGTATCTACCGCAGTAATAGACGATACGTCCTTTAGGTGATTTGATTTATAGCCAGTAATCAAGTTTGCCCACTGACTATATGTGAAAAGTTTTAATTCCTTATACGAAGAATTGGCAAATTTCGGATCTGCGGTTGGTTACCTCGTTCACAGGCAGATGGGGCGATGACAAACGTATCGTTTGTTGTCCGCTTCAGCCTATTTCGAGGAATGATACTCTGAAGGAATTCGATTTTCAATTATCGGAAATCATCGACTTTATGTTGATGATAGACACCACCTTGCACTGACGAGTGGCCAAGCAGCCCGAAACCACAGCAGTTGTATCGTCAACAGCATATACAGGCAGGGCCGTAGCGAAAAAAAAACCAGGGGGGGAGGGAATCCAAATTTTCCCAACCCCACGAGCAAAGTTTCCCAACTTTTGAAAAAATGAAAACCGCGTAACCAGATTCTATTGTTTGAGAAATTGACAACTCGAAAACGACGGAAGCAATACACAACATTGACAAACTAAACACGGACGGGAAATAACATAACACATAACATGCCAGAGTCCAACGTTATTTCTGATGAAAATCAATCGTGCGCGTCTTCGATATCGAGCCTTTTAATGCGCATGCGTCAGTTTTTCTACCCTCTCCACAATCCTGGTTTTCCCCTCGATTTTAAATGATAAATGATTAATGGATTTTCCTCTCTCACATTGGTTTTTAGATATGGTTTTGATAAAAATGAGCTGGAAAATTCAACATGGGATGACGAAATTATGACCTCAATGAGTTGGAAACTAATTCTAATTTCTCTTGTTGTTTTCTACTATTATTTTTTCTATCTTCACGGCCCGAAATTTCCCAACTTTTCCAAGTCGAAAAAACAGCGAAAAGTTGGGAATTTTGTGAAATTGTCACTTCAAAATTTGTGGACTGTTCAGGACTATTCTCTTACTTGGGAGAAATTAAACTTCTTTGTTTTCAAACAACTCAGAATTTCAAAGTATGAGATCTCCAAGTTATGCATGTTGGGAAATCTTGGGTGTCAGTACATTAACCTTCAGTGTAGGGAGTTGGGACTGGTCTGAACGAATTGTTCCTTTTGATGATTCTATTTGAAATACACTTGTCACCAGCGTATTCTCTAGCTTTTGCATGCAGATTCTCTATGGATATAGCTTTGTTTATTTTTCAGATTGTGGAAGGTTATATATCAAAAAAACAGAATGAAGATATCATCTAATACATCATTTTGTTCGAAAGTTTAAAGTCTAAATTTTCCCAACAAACAGCAATACATACAAAATCAAATGAATAATTGAGAAACACTGCATGACCTTAATAATAAAATCCATTGACAGAAAAATAGTTTAGATGAATTCACTATATAATTGTGAACCTTGTACTTAAGTGTATTTGTTTGTTACAGATTGCCATTAAGGTGGAAACCCACTCTTGTAGGCATGGAGTCAAGAAGAGTAACATAGAGAAAAACCAAAACCAAAGATGCATTCCTTGTAAGTATCTTATTGTCTCCTAGTATTTCAAATAGATTCTAAAATCTTCATTGATTGATTTTAAAAATCTTTCATCATTTATCGTCGCCTGTCTACATGGAGAAGGATCAGACCTCTTCTGTTGATCAGCGCCGGCTACTGTTGACACAATTCGTTTCCTCAGGATAGGACTCTACTATGATGGTTTGGCCGTCTGCAGAAAGTTATAGTCACACCACACCATCCACTGACCACCATCACATCAGCCGCTGACCACCATATAGTAACCATGATTGTTTTGGTGGGTTTTCGCCTTTGGAAAGTGCCTGGATGGCTAATCGCTATTCAACCACTCTCCTGACGATCCGATCCCAAAAAGAATCGTTGTTAAATATTCGAAAATATGGATCGGAAACTATATTCAAAGAACGTTCAAAACAATTAACTTATCAATCATATATCAATGACAGTTATTTGACCTCTTAGAGAGAGTACAATGTGTACAAAAAAGTTTACCAAATTCAGAAAATGAACTATCTGCCACCTTGAGTTGTGGAACCTTGTTCACCAACAACTCAAATTGCCACGCAGAAAATCTTTGAATAGGTTTAACTTTTCTACCATATCTAGTAGTCATCGGAAGTGGTTCAGGATTTTTGAAACACCCGTTGCTATTTTCTTTGGTTTCTTCAGTTTCTTTACTTTCAGTCTCTCTTGTAGAAACTGCTCGGCCTGATATCCGAGTTAGATCCAAATCATCAGCACAATTCATCTCTGAAGGGTATACTCGTTGTAGAGGCCTGAGTACTATTCCCTTCGTTGTCTTCAGTTTGACCAAACGTGTTTTATTATCTCTCCCAGGTATCAGCTCTTGAACATACGCCAAAGGCCATTCCATCCTTTTGGTATTGTGACGGTTCCTATCAGAACGACTTCACCAATTTTGATTTGCTGACAATTTCAGCTGACCTGAATATTCATTTCTAAATTTCCTACGAAGATCATCTCTCAGCTTCATCCTGTATCTCAGATGTTTTCTCAGATCTGAACTCTCCACTGGGTCCAAATCCGAAACTCCGCACTCTGAAATATCCTTGAGGAACATAGCAGTAGTCAAAGGAACAAGATCTTTGCTATCTTTGGACATATAAGTGAGGGGTCTCGAACTCAGTACTGGTTCACAATCGCAAAGTATCGTGAATAACTCCTCGTATGTCAGACTAGCTTCTGCCAAAACTTTTCTCAGTAGATCCTTCATAATTCCGATTAACCTCTCCCATCAACCACCCTACCAGGCAGCTGTTGGAGGATTAAATTTCCACGCTTCTCGGTGGTACTGTAAGCGGTTATCATTTTCCAATCCAATTGTAAAAAGGCATTTTCAACACTAACAAAATGTGTGCCATTGTCGTTGTATACGGTCGATGGTCTTCCTCTTCTGGCCACAAATCTTCTGAATGATTGTAAGAAAACATCTGTAGACAGTGATGAGAGAAGTTCTAAATGAACAGCTCTATAAATGGCACATGTATATAGGCATATCCAAGCCTTCTCTTCAGTTCGAATGTAGAGTGGACCGGCTAAATCTACACCGATGACTTCAAAAACTTTGGCTTCTCGTACTTCCCATTTCCCACTTAATCCTTAGGTTTAGTGATCTGGAGTACACTCCACATCCTGTGCCTTCTTTGGTTTTTGAGCTGTGCGTATTGAATTTTTAGCATCTGACTCAGTGTTCTGTTTTCTTTGTATTTTGTAGGGTTTATTGAATACAAACCTGGGTTCAATTGCATCACTGGTTGCCTGCAGCAGAGGTTGCGCAGTAAGCGTTTCTTGCCATAGGCTCAGCCTCAATTGACCCATTCCTACTTCGAGGTATACACCAGCCGTGTGCAATCGTAACATGGCCATTAACGCAACCTCCCTAACGTACAGGTCCGGAGGGGTCAGACCAGTAATTAATTACATTGCCGCGGTAGGTGTTGTTCTCATGGCTCCTGTGATGTTTAAACAAGCCAGTATTTGATATAATTTTTGGATGGAGGTTGCTTGTAGAACTTTCGGTCCCTATGCAATGGCTCCTTATGTTAACATAGGCTTTATTATTGCAGTTTAGATCCAGATGACCACACGGAGTGAATACCCCATGCGCGTCCCACTGTCCTCCAACATTGCTCATAAGCCACATATACTTTTTTTGTTCTATTCTGTAGGTGAGAGTTCCATGTAGCTTCCTATAGAGGATAGTAACAAGGTATTTCACCTCTTCAGAGAAATTTAGTTTGCTTTTGATTGACAGTGAGTGTTCCTTACACCATGTTTCCATTAATTTGAGCCCATCCTGCGCTCTATGGCACAGTGTGTTCACAAATTCGCCGGTCTGCAAGATAACTATGTCATCTGCATACGCAACTGTGTAGAATCCATTATTGTTGAGGTGATTATTCAGGGTATTCAAAACTATATTCCAGAGAAGGGGTGATAAGACCCTTCCCTGTGGATATGACCAGTCCTCCCACGGTGATGTCTTCTACATTGATACTTATTGCTCTACTAGAGATCATCTTGAGTATCCATTCTCCCAGTATCAGGGGTACATTCCTGGAGTGTAGTTGCTCCCTCTTTCCCAGGATGGATTCTTTGTTCTTCAATTATCTCTCGATTCTGACAACCACATGGTGAAGGGCCGAATCAGTAGACTTTCCCGGAGTATATGCATGCTGATTTGGATGAATTAGGTTGTGAACTAGTACTTCATCTCTTATGAACCGCTCACATAGCCCCTCCATAGTTTTTGTAACGAATCTGAAGCCGGCCCTGACCGATATCTCAGCCAGCAAACACATGACTCACCGCGAACCGCAGCGAAACGTATAGATGAGTGCCGAAACGACTAGAGAGATCTGGAGTGATCGTTGCCGATATAAAAGCCGGCTTCCCGTCCCGAGATGGCAGCCTGTCTTCAGAAAGCGAATTGTGCGGTTAAATAAAGAATTCGAATAGTGAAGATAAATTAAGCGTTAGTTGCTAAGTATGGAATATAAATTAGTTATCATAGTGAAATATTGGTAAAAATAAATTTGTATAAGACAGTTAATTCTTTAATTCGTTACATTTTTGAAAAGAACGATGTGAGACTAATTGGTCGGAATGCTCTTGGTTGTGAGATTTTTACGAAACAGTTTCACAAAAACGCAGCACGTGTATAAACACACCTGAATAAGCTACTGTATAGCGAAACACGTGCTCCATTTTTGTAAAACTGTTTAGTGAAATAAAGTGTTTCTTGAATAGCTTATCTTATGCTGAAATTTGTTGTTTGTCAATATTTCCGCAATGAATGAACAATCGCGAATCAAGGTTTCAAACAGGAATGATTTTTCATTTCGTGAAAAAACGAAGCTTCAAACCGGTGCTCAATTCGGCGGAAACGACACGGTTCACTTTTCCGATTTGAATAGGGTGCATGAGATAGCAATTCAAACTTAAAATGGTTGATTTTGGCCATTGTGATAATGGATTTGTGAGCTGTTGCATTGTCTTGATGAAACAACATTTTTTTCTCATCCAACCGCGGCCGTTTTTGCTTGATTTCTTCGTTGATAGTTTTACCTTTTTCAAGATAGTCAATGAAAATTATCCCACGCGCATCCCAAAACCGATGCCATGAAACGGTCTTCGCCTTCTTTGGAGCCAGTTCTCTCTGTCGAATCCATTGTTTTGATTGTTCTTCTGTCTCGGATCTAAAGTGATGGACCCATGTTCCATCCATGGATATGAAACGACGCAAGAATTCTGCCTTGTTGTTGTGAAACTTCGCTAAACACTCAATTGAAACATCTTAGTTCGAGTGTGAGCAAACGCGGCACCCATGTTGCGCACAGCTTTCTCATGTCCAAATTTTGAAATAATATACGATGTATCACACTTTTTGAAATGCCTACTGAGTCTTCTAGCTCGCGCAATTTTAGTTGACGATCATTCAGTAACGGTTTGTGGATTTTCTTCACCGTTTTTGTTCAGGAACATGTCTATGTGTGTTGGTTTCTTGTACACTCTGTGACCCACTGTATCATCTTTACGTGTGCTCACAAGAAGGCTACAGTCCGTTGGGTTTTTCTCCCATTGTGAATTGGATTTTTCAGTCGAAAGAGTTTTCTACTATTTTTTCATTAGAAATATCGGAGAATGTTAGGAATAACAAGTAATTAATTGTAATGAACAGTTGATGCTTGACATGTACAAAGTTTAGAAAGAATGCCGCATTAGCCAACGAAACTTCTGGAATAACAAGTTCTTTTCGACCACGCCCTACTAGACTGGATTCTGTTCTTTTTAATTGTGTTAACTATTTATTCTGTTTTTTCAAATTTTGAAATTCATAAAGCCATCTTTTTACTTCTTATAATATATTTTTGTCTACATAATCTACCATGAATATATGTCCAGCGATTTTTGAATAATTTTTCTCTACGAATTCAAATTGAACCAAAAAGCTGCCGAAACAGCCCGAAAAATCAACCAGGCATTTAGCAAAGATAGTGTTAATGAACGCACTTCTAGATTAGATTGGATTGTAGGGGAGCTAGCTTATGGTCTGATTCACTGCTACCTTTTCAGATCTATTATGATGCTCCTTGGTTGTTAGAGCTCATTGTCTAGCTTGATCTCTTTGATAAGACTCCAAAGCCTTGACACTGACCCCTTCATATAGCTTGCAGCCTCTGGTTTCTCTTCCCTGCATCTTGCGTGTCTCAGCCTTGCTATCGCTTCGCATTCACAGACCACATGCAGTGCAGTTTATTTCTTTTCTTAACAAAATCTGCTTTGGTGTTCTTCTGTCAGGCACATATTGCTCATGTTTCCTGAGTCGGCTATGCTCCGTTAGTAGACCCACCACTACCCTCACGGTTGTTGTTTAGCAGGTCTTCCGTGAATCTGGGCGATGGTTTCTTTATGAACTCTTTCGTCTACCTCATTCCTGGGAGCATATTCCACCAATCTATCAATTCGGCTTGCCT